TGAATGCATTGGATTCGCTTAAAACTTGTTACTCGGGGGTTTTCAGGGTCGCTGATAACGAATCTGAAGTTCATTTTTAAAAATTCAAAATGGCGGATCCAATATGGCGAACATATATTTTTTAATTTCTCGGATTAGCTTGAAACTCGTTACTGTAACTAACACGCGTAATGAATAAACGAAAAGTAAACACTTAGAAGTCGGATTAATACCTATTGTTTCTCGAATCAATTTGAGTAAATTAAATCCAATGAATATTATAAATGTAGGAGTGTCCAAAATTTTAATAAGACGAATATACGATAATAAGACGATTTTATTATAGAAAAGTTGATTAATGTAAAATATCAAAACAAAAGACGATATGCCTTGTGCAAATTACATTATAAGAATAGGGAGTGTTCAGAAATCATGTCTTTATTTTGGAAAATCTCTGCTTTTATAAAAAAAGAAAGACTAAACTTAGGTTTTTATTTATTTATCATGTATTTTAAAAAAAATTCTTTTTTTTCGTTTTTTTACGAACGATTTCAAGCGTAACGACTAGTTTCAAGCGAATCCGATAAATTCAAAAAATACGATCGCCATATTAGATCCGTTATTTTAAATTTTTAAAAATCTAACTTCATATTCGTAATTAGCGACCTCGAAAGCCCCGTAGTAACGAGTTTTAAGGAAATCCGAGAAATTAAAAACATGTGTTCGTCATATTGGATTCGCCATTTTGAATTTAAAAAAATGGACTTTAGATTCGTTATCAGCGACCCTGAAAACTCCCGAGTAACAAGTTTCAAGCAAATCCGATAAATTCAAAAAAATACGTCCGCCATATTGGATCCGCCATTTTGAATCTTGAAAATCTGACTTCATATTCGTCATCAGAAACCTCAAAAACCCCCGAGTAACGAGTTTCAATCGAATCCGAGAAATTAAAAAAAATATGTCTGCCATATTAGATCCGTTATTTTAAATTTTTGAAAATCTAACTTCATATTCGTAATTAGCGACCTCGAAAGCCCCGTAGTAACGAGTTTTAAAGAAATCCGAGAAATTAAAAACATGTGTTCGTCATATTGGATTCGCTATTTTGAATTTAAAAAAATGGACTTTAGATTCGTTATCAGCGACCCTGAAAACTCCCGAGTAACAAGTTTCAAGCAAATCCGATAAATTCAAAAAATACGTCCGCCATTTTGGATCCGCCATTTTGAATTTTGAAAATCAGACTTCAGATTCGTCATCAGAAACCTCAAAAACCCCCGAGTAACGAGTTTCAATTGAATCCGAGAAATTAAAAAAAAATGTCTGCCATATTGGATCCGCCATTTTGAATTTTTAAAATCTGAGCTTAGAATCGTTATCAGCGACCTTGAAAACCCCCCGAGTAACAAGTTTCAAGCGAATACGATGAATTCAAAAAAATACGTCCGTCATGTTGGATCTGCCATTTTGAATTTCGAAAATCTAACTTCATATTCCGAATCAGCGACTTTGAAAACCCCCGAGTAACAAGTTTTAAGCGAATCCGATAAATTCAAAAGAATATGTCCGCCATTTTGAATTTCGAAAATCTAACTTCATATTCGGAATCAGCGACCTCGAATACCCCCGAGTAACAAGTTTCAAGCGAATTCAATGAATTAAAAAAAAATTAGTCCGTCATCGAAATTCAAAATGGCGAATACAAATCCGCCATTTTGAATTTCGAAAATCTAACTTCATATTCGTAACCAGCGACGTCGAAAACATTTAAATATAATTGTGTGAGATATTATTTTGATATGATAATGTATGATTATAATAAGGATAAGGGGGATATAGGTAAGTTTTTAAAAATTATACAAAATACTACTTTTTTTTTTTTTTTTTTTTTTTTTTTCAAGGAATTTTTGAGGAAATCGTGTAATATTTCCAAATATTAGGTCTTGGGTTTTGAAGGTACACACCTTAGGAATATTTACCCCCAAAAACTTTGATGAATTTGCAAAGCGTTTCTTTTAAACAAATATTTATTGTCAAAATGAGCCTGTGGGGCAAAGCGGACAGTTTTCGGTGGGGCAAATCGGCCATAGGATATATGCACTGTATCAGAGTGTCACGAAAATTATTATTAATAGAATGTTTTTTTCATTAAAATATTTACTTTCATTGAAACATAATTATCTTCCAATGAAAATTAGACCCTTTAATATTGTTTCTCTGATAATTTCAAACATTTTTTTTGTTATTTAAAAAAATTATTTATTTCACTAAAATTCAATCCTGTATTATTATTTACATTATTACAACCATTGTTCACATAATTATTTATGTTTGTTGTTATTGTAGATCATACAAATGCAATATTGTAGATAAAAAACCCATCTGACCGGTTTGCCCCATGGGGTGGCCGGCTTACCCCAGGGGGTGGGGCAAACCGGCCCGTTTGAAATTTTTTTTAAAGTTAACACAGGAACTAAACAATAAGAGATAAAGTATAGGTACCTCTGGGAAAAAGTTGCGCAATTAAATGATCTTTCAAACAAGCCATAGAAAAATGAAATTGGTTGATTCGTTCAGTCACAAGAGTCAAAAAACCGTAGGTATGGCCGGTTTGCCCCACTCTCCCCTAAACTTATAATAAAGAAATTAAAGTAACTTTCTAGAACAAGTTAAAAAATTCTTGTGTTGGCCTTGTTTAATTAAAATATTAAAATTAATATAATTTCTGAAAAACTTTACATGTTTTAATATTTTTTTAATCAATCTTAAACAAGCACCAAGATTTTATTTTAAAAATATTTATTTTGTTTTTTTAAATGAATATTTAGATATAAATTTAAACTCTGAAAGTTAATAATCAGGTTTAAGCATCTATAACTGTTAGAATTGAATTTAAATATTTATTCTTTTTTTTAAACAAAAACATTATTTTTAAAATAAACCGGATGCTTATTTCAGCTTTATCCGAAGAACATTAAAACATGTAAAGTATTTCAAGAATTATATTAATTTTACTAATAAATATAATAGTAATAAATCATTTATTACCGAATAATTTAATCTCAACAAAAACATCTTTAATGTTATAAATAAGTAAAAAGATAATAAAATTTATAATAATATAATTCTTATTACTCTGATTGATTAATGCAAACGCAGCATTAGAATGCAAGCATGTACAGCCGTAAAATTTGAAGTTAAATCTATTTTTATTTAAAATTATGATAAAAAATAAATGTTGAAATAAAATGAGAACTATGGAAAATAAATATTATTAACATGCATTGGCACAAGTTTGTAAACATATATATATATAATTTAAATTGTTAATGTTTAAATTTAAATTAAATGATTACATAAACATATATGTGTGTATATATATTAATAAATATATATGTATACGAGCAACCTTAAAAATTAACAACTTTATATATTTCGGAATCAATGGGACCAATTTCAATTTTGTCCTCTTTTTCCGAACAATTATGTATTGTACTTTTCTTTTTTTTCAATTTGTTTCAATTTGGGAACATTAAAATCGTTAGGAGTGTTTCGGAGAGTTTTAATTAAATTTTGATTCGCATAAAATTTAGTTGAATGGAACTCTGGAGAAGATGTAGTGGCGATAGGGATGTTTTCCACAAAACCAGGATCTACAGTTTTCATGGGTGACGGGATCGTTGGAGTGGAAGCATAAGGAAGAAATTCGACTTCTTTGGTCAAAGAAGATATGGAGGTGGTAGGAATGTTTTCCAAAAAACCAGGATCTACAGTTTCCATGGGTGACGGGATCGTTGGAGTGGAAGCATGAGGAAGAACTTCTTTGGTCAAAGAGTCTTTATCCTTCCAGGCAGATTCGTTATGTACAAGTTCCATATAAATCGTATGAGCCGAATAAGAGATAAAGAACTCTCCAAAAAGATCGCACAATATTTTAACCTTTTCTGGAGGCGGTTGGGAACAAATTTCTGAAAATAATCATGTAAGTGTTACTAAAAAATCGATGCCTAAAAACGTTCATATATGCATACATACATATTATCAAACAGAAACATTTTCTGAAATTATGCTTTTTCAACGGGAAGTTGACAATGGTAACGATTGGTTCAATAATAGGCCATGCTTGGTGCCCAATGGTTTTTTCTTGTCAAAAAAATTGGCAACCATCATTGTACCACCATTGGTTTTAGCTTGGGATGATCACGCTGCTGCCAATGATCGGTAGCCAAGCATCGGGCCAATATTTGTTTCCCAGGAATTGCCAAGGAAACAAAGTCATTTTGTTCCCTTGTCAAATCCTTGGCAAACTAATATTGACCTGATGCTTGGCTACCGATCATTGGCAGTAGCGTGATCATCCCAAGCTAAAACCAATGGTGGTACAGTAGGTTTCAATAATGCCTTTCTTCAGGGAAGGCACTAATCTCACGTAGTTTGCCTCCCATCTATGTTGTTTTCATGCCGTGGCGAATAGTTTAGCGGAACGTGGAATGGGATCTGTCAGTTTGGATAATAGCACATTCGGGTATATGCTCTAGAGTGCTCCAAGATTGCTCCGACCAAGAGTAACGTGTTCGGGTTAACAACTCTGCCCCGTGGCGAGTCAGGTAGCGTATTCGATTTGAAAACATCGACCCGGGAGCAGGTAGAAAGCGAATTCGTGTTACATGCTCTGCTTTCAGTCAGAGCAATTATTGTATTCGGGAACAAAATTTTGCTTTAAAGCAGAGCAAAAAACGTATTCGGATTTTTCCATATATCCACCCCAGGGTTAATATAGAGCAAGAAATCTTGCCCCGTATTTTTCGACGGAGCAGTTACAATTATTTGATAACCTGTTACTGCGCAAGTCATTAATTTAAAAATTTGAAATGAATGCACAAATCGCACAAACATTATCGGTAATTACAGAACTTTTAGAAAGTTCTAGTGAAAGTAGTGAAGATGAGAATTTGAAGATTTTTAATCAATTTAGAAAAGAAAAAAAGGTTCGTCCTAAAATAAAAGAATATGTGCGAATGGTTTTAGAAGATTTTGATGATATTGAGGTAAGTATTGCGCAACAATTAATTATTATATTTATAAAATTGATATAAAAATAAAATATATATTTTCAAAATTAAATTGATATATTTGGTTATTTTTTGCAGTTTAAAAGAAACTTTCGAGTATCAAAAGGAATATTTTCTAAACTTGAGGAAATATATGAAAACTCGAATAATGTAAGCACAAATAATCATGGTTTACCATGTACTTCCACCGAGTCACAAATTTTGCAGTTTCTTTGGTACGTTACTTGTTTATAAATATTATATTATGAATATAGTCTTATACAAAAAAAATAATTATTTTAATTTGCTCCTACAGGTTTGCAGGAAACAAATCTGTAATTCGAGATGTGGCTTCGAGATTCGATGTTGCTGAATCTACATGTCATCTAATAATTAATAATATTATTGATTTTTTAAATGACATTTCAAGTCAAGTAATTAAATTCCCAAAAACTGAAGAAGAAAAAGCAGCAATTGCTGAAAAGTTTCAGGAGGTGAGTATTATGCTTTAATAAGTTTATTTTTAAGTTAATTGAATAAGCAATTTTATTATATAGTTTGGTAATTCAACCTGTTAATAATAAATTTTACAGATTGCCGGATTTCCAGGAATTATTGGTGCCATAAATGGAAGCTATATAACAATAAGAACACCAGCTCATAAAGTTAAAAGCACTTATGTTAACCGACACGACCAAACTGCATTAACCTTACAAGGTATTTGTGATGCGGAAAAAAAATTTATAGATGTATTCACAGGAGTGTCAGGAAAAGTTCATGTTTCTAGTCTATTTAAAATGTCATTCATTTATAACGAAATACGCACAATTTGTGGTGAAAATTGGCATTTAATAGGCGATGCAGCCTATGGAATTAAAAAGTGGCTGTTAGTTCCTTATCGTGATTATGGAAATTTGTCAGAGGAAGAAAGTAATTTTAATAAAAAATTATCTCAGAGTAGAGTTAAAATAGAAAATGTTTTTGGACTACTGAAAGTTCGGTTTCGTCAATTACAAAGACTCGATTTTCTGACAGTAAAAAAAATGTCTAAATTTATTGTAGCTTGCTGCGTCTTACACAACCTGTGTATTTTAAATGATGATGAGTGGGATGAATATGTTGAGAACTTTGATGATGTTAATGAACAACTTTTTATAAATGAAAATAATAACATTAACGAGAATAGAGAAAAAATATTAGGAGAAAATAAAAGAGATGAGATGAGTCACCAGCTTTGGAGAATAAGATAAATTTTGTATATTATTATCGTAAGTGTATAAATGTGTAAACCTTTATTGAAATTTAAATATAAAAAATTTTATATATATATTTTAAGTAAATATTTTTATATATATACTCTATATTATGTTAAGCTATACAATACTATACTTTAGGTTCTGAACTTCTGAATTCAGAACGCAATGTCACAATAACCTCCTTAAGGAATTCCATTTTCTCTTCATGTCTTCGACGTTTCGCAGATTCTTTTTCTTCGTGAATTTTTCCTAAGGTCTCCATACTGGATTCGTGAATTTTCCATTGGAGTAAATCCTCCATCCTCTTTCTTTTTCTACTCCTTGGAGCACCTAAAAAAATTTTAATTATTTTATTTTTATAATCTGCCGCCCAAAGTAAATGCCTAGTAAGTCTCATTTTCCGTAAGGTTCAAAGTCGCTTACCATGTAAGCAACTTTCGCCTTAACGGCAAATGCGACTTACTATGTTTTTGCAGTAATATATATTATTGTAAGTAATATGCATATTTTTTTTATATTAGTAATATATATATATATAAATTTACAATACATATACTTACTTGAACCTATCTTTTCTACTATTTCTATTCGCCCACCTACACCAAGTTTGACCTCCGGTTCCATGCTGTCATCGATGGCTGCAACTTTTGCTAGTTCATCTCCAAATTCTATTCTGGTTCTGCTACTTCCTGATGTTCTATTCTGTTTTGTTGCTGCACTTTTTCTTTTTTTTACAGTTTTGAATCTGGAATCACATTGGATTCCAGTAAAACTTTTCGAAAACTTGATATTTAGTTCTTCAGCCACCTTCTTGAAAAGGTGGACTTTTGTTCTAAATTTCTTCATTGGCCCAACTTCCGGCAAATATTCCGCGTATTTTTCAATGAGAAAGCTGGTACTTTCATTGCACCACTGGCTTTTACTACAACCTTCAATGGGATCAATGCCATCGTCAATCGCATCATCAATCTATAATAAAATATAAAATAAGCATTTTAGTAAAATTTATATTTGTTTTTTTAGTTGTAAAATGTTATATTATACTAACTTGATTATTTTCATTGAAATCAGGAATCAAGGAAATTCCTGCATTTTGGAGACTCTGCTTGTCAAGGCTCATAACACAATGTGAACCTGCAAATAATAAGAAATATTCAATTCACTATTATTATGCAAATTACAAAATTTTGTTTTTAAATGTAAACTTCCATTTTTTAATAATTTCAGTTTTTAAATTCACATATTATGTACATAATAAATTATTATGGTTTATATTTTCAGAAATAATCAATTTTTTTGCATAAATTCAATTATTTTCTCAAAATTTTTAATAAATCCTTCGAAAAAATTCAATTATTTTTTAAAGTAGTAAAACTCATCGCAAGAATTAAATTATTTTTTATCAATAAAAAAATTCTTCTCAGGAATTAAATTATTTACAATACAATTTTAATAAACTTTAAAAATCAAATATTTCATTATTATTATTAACAGACACGATTATTTTTAAAAAGTTGAAAAAATTCTTTGTTTAGTTCAATTATTTTTCAAAATTTCTAATTATAATTATTGAAAAAAGTAGATTATTTAAAAAAAACTTAAAGAAATTCTTGAAAATTATTAAAAATTAGTTAGGAAGCAAAAAAGCAAACAACTGAAGTTATTAGTTCAAATATGATTCTTGTCAAAAAATCTTTTCAAAGTAAAATTCAGTGCAAGAATTAAATTATTTTTTATAAATAATAAAATTCTCCTGAGGAATTCAATTATTTTCAATACAATTTTGATAAATTTTAAAAATCACATATTTCATTTTAGTTCTTAACAGACACGAGCAATTTACAAAAATAAAAAAATGATTTGTTTAATTTAATTATTTTTAAAATCTTCATTTAAAATTGTAAAAAAACTACATTATTTTCAAAAAAATTTAAACAAAATTCTTGCAAATAATTTAATCACTCACAAAAACTCTAATAAAATTGTTTTAAAGAGATTTCTATTAATAATCTTAAACCTTTAGTAGTATTTATTCTTCGAAAGAATTAAATTATTTTTTAAAAATGTTAATAAAATTTAATAATTAAATGTTTGATTTTAATTATTGAAAAACACGGTTATTTTAAAATCTTTAAAAAATTGTTCATAGAATTCAATAACTTTCGAAAATTTCAATCAGAATTATTAAAGAAACTCCATTATTTAAAAAAATCCAAAGAAATTAATCAATAAGTCTTTTTAAAAATTTTAATAAACATCTTCCCAAAATTTCAATTATTATTTTTATTAAAATATATATTCAATTTTAATATTTACCATTAGATATCACGTTACATATAATATTCTGACCGTTAATATTTTCGACGATTGCATTTTTTTCATTTAAATATATACTTTGAAAAATAATGTTTTCCTGGTTTGCCATAATTTCAACTGCAAAAACTTTTTGAAACAAAATTTCACTGCACTTCAATTTACTTTCGCGGAATTAACAAAACTGAAAACTCCTTTGCGTAGGAGGTTTTCGAAGCAAAGAACATGAGGGGAAATTTTTGAAAATGGAAGGGATACAAAAAACGGGGTAAAAATAGGTGAAAAATAGTAGGGATTGGATATATTATCTATTAAATTAAATATTAAAATATTTATTTATTAAAAAATTTTGAATTTAAATAAATTTATAGGCGCATAATACGGTAATATTAAAAAAATATTGTGCAATATACCTATATTATTATTCATTATTATTTGTGACAATTTGAAATAATACTTCAAATATAACAAAATTTTAAACTATAACAATATTTTTCTAACTTTAGGTTAAAAGTTGGATAATTTTTTATTAATAATTTTAAATTTCGGTGCCATTTGCTTGGATTTATAACGCTCGACTCGTGGGCAGAGTGCTTATATTTTGTTACGTCACAAACCAAATTCTCACACAGAGCGAAGCATGAAAACGTCTATCGTGACGTCACAAATTGCTCTTGCTCGGAACCTGAACTGCTTTGGAGCAAGTTAACAGCCACTCTTTCTCGGAGTAAGAGTATTCTCAGAGCAACATACCCGAATGTGCTATAAGAGGTTTTGTTATAGTTTTGGAATAAGTTATATTAATGTTTTAAAATTGATGAAATAATTATGTTTAATAATAAAAATAGTTCATTATATATAATTAATACAATTAATTTAATTGCATCGACGAATTTTAAAAATATCGGCTCAAAAGAAGGTAAGTTTACTTATATTTTGTAGAAAAAGTATCGCTTATTTACTTTATGTGTTTCACAAATATTGTAATTCAAAAAGTATTTGCAAATGCGTTGAGTAACAAGTTTGTTAATTGGAATATTGAGAGTATCTTTGTAACTTTCTATGAATTCTCCATACTTTTGCGGAGGTGTAAATGTTTTAAGAATATCAAGTTGTTTTGCTTTATTATATAATTGTTTTGGAAAAAAAGTGTCGATACTTAGCCAACGTAATAACAAATAAAATTATATATAATTTTCTTTATTATTATTCAGACAATTAAAAATAACCAAAATTTTAACAAAAAGTTTATCGCGGCATTATTGAAGGTGTGCGATTAAAGACGCTTCAAGATCGCGTGTCTTATTATTATTTTTAATCAAAGCAATATACTCTTTGGGTCAAATAACATGAAATTGTATCAAGTAATAGCAATCTGAAATTTTGTGATAAAAAATATTCGTCCTTCACATAAGGAGCAAAATTAATACTTTAAAAAAACAAATTTCCAATTTCTTTAGTTTACTTTTAAGTTGATTATTTATTAAAAATTTACATTTTGTTTATAGATTTTTATGCAGTCAATTGTCGTGTTTTTAATTCGGCTTGTAATTCACATGTTAAAACTATAAAAGAACACAAGAAGATACTGGAAAAGGGAGAAATAAGGAATATCACCAATCATCCACTTTTTAGAAAAAGAGGGAGTAAAATTTTTTTCAGATATTTTTAATTGAAATTTTTCAATTATTTCAATTTTTTAAACATTTTTATAAAAATAATTGAAAATAATTGAATGTTTTAAAATTCAATTAAAATTTTGGATTCAATTTTTTACAAAACAATTAAATTGTCCAGATATTTGATTTTTTCAATAAGCCCAAAAAATTCAGGAATTTAAAGAATGAAATGTAATAAACACTGGAATTAATTAATTATAATTTCTTTACAGTTTGGTGAAGCACGACTCATATTTACAAGGCGTCTCAAAAAGTGTAAAAGCTGTGGCGAAAGCAAAATTATGATGCGTTTGAGTTGGATTGGATCCGGAGGAAATGTATCGACTCGCTTCCAAGGACCTGATAATCTTAACAAGTTTTTTCTTGAACGAAGCGATCGCCACGTTTTATCGCTGTCAAAAATACGTGCATCCATTTATTTTCAGCCTGTCAAAAATTATCAGAATTGACATATTGGTTTACTTTTTAAAAATAAATTTAAAAAACATTTCTTGAAATAGTCATTTCAGTTTATTTTAAAGGTTTGAGCTAATTTAGCAATTAAGATTTTAGATTCAGAATTAGGAGGAAGAATCGCATAGAATTATACTTGTCTAGTGCAATCTGACAATTCTGAGTTCAGATTCAGATTCAACAGAAAAAATACATGGAAATAGACTAGTTTAGTAACACTTTTTTTCATTTTTGATTTTAATTCATGCTTTTTCAGCATTATTTAAAGTATATCTTAAAAATAAGAGCCAATCTGGCAATTCTGTCTTTGGATTCGGATTCAGTGTGGTAAAATACATGGGAATATACTAGTGTATTGTCTTGGCCAAAACAAAAATTTTTTTTGTGTGCCTGTGTTATTTATCCAAGTAAACAGGAAGCCAAATTAAGAGGTCTATCTACTTAAGACGCGCCAAAAAAGGATATTTTCATAAATTATTTTTTAAGATTTAAATTATGAATATTTACATAATAAAAAATGAGCGTCCTTTTTCGAATCCGTTGTCAAAAATAATTTTTATGCAACCCAAAATTAAATATGTTGATTTAATTTAAAAAATTACAAATGAATTTCAATTTTTTTCAAGTTTGATTTTTTTTTATCCTGAAAAATAATTATAAATGTTTATAAGATTTTAGTATAATGTTTCTAGATATGTAAACTGTCGACAAAAGTAATAAAAATAAAATTGATTTTTTTTTAAATTCTAAAGTTGTTAGAGCCTTCAAAGAAATGGACCGCGTGCGGACACCTTGTAGATTAAGAAACTTAAGTTGGCGGCCACGTCAAGGCCCACGAATACAATGTTTTTCGGTCCAAAATATCGAAAATATTCAAAATTGTTCCAAGTACAGTGGAAAATTAAGCTTTTAAAGACTGCTGAGGATTAACTGTTTCAGATTGAGAAACCAGCGATTTATCATTCGGACGTTGGTGCGATGTATCTGAATATTATTTTGAAAAATCGTTTGAAAATGCCAATGTTACTTAAAAAGTCAAAGCTTCCACTCATATTAGATATTATTCAATACAAATATTTTTAAATAAGGTGAAATTTTAGGGTTTCTCTTCTCTCATATAGAGCAACAATTTACTAAACTTAATTGGTTCAATAGTTTGTCACTTCTGTCCTAGATAGTTTGGGCTTTTTGGCCCGTATGTGACCGGATCTGAAAAAAGGGACCTACTTACCAAAAAATTGATTTTTTATGATGGTTCCTTATAGTTTAAGGTCCTAGAAATACAATGCAATCAGTCCTGATTGTTAAAAAAATTTTTTTTGGAATTGTTTAAACAAATTAAAAAAAAATTTTTTTTTGAAAATATAAGTAATTTTAAGACAAAAATTACACTTGGTTGTCTAAGTGTCAAAAATATTTCCCCTAAATCTTAAATTGAATGCCTAAACCATTTACAAAAAATTCGACTTAATTCCTCGAAGATGATCCCCAAGTATACCCGTCATCGGCAACCTGGTTGTGCAAGACAAAAAATAACTATGAATTATTGTAGAGTTCAAAATTATTCATTATTGTATCAGTTCTTTGCATAAAAAATTTCAGACCTCTAAGACATCCGGAAGTCTTTTAAATTAATTTTGAAAATTCTACAATTTGACTTTTGCAAAGTAAATTGTTTATAACAATTACAGGGTTGTTTGAATAATTATTTAACCATGAAAATTGGATTCAGCATAAAAAAATACATAAAGATCACTCATCATGTTAATTTAAGATGTAAAATGTTTCAAGAAATCTAATTTATTTGGATAGAAAACTTTAAACGCGTTTTTCTCGAAAAGTTGATTTTGGTAAGTAGGTCCCTTTTCTCAGACCCGGTCACATATGTGTAAGAATTTAAATTTAAAATTTTTGCAACATAAATTAATTAATATTATGGATTTTTTAAAATTTTAATAGATTAATAAGTCAACTTTCATTTTATTATGAAACTTATTATTTTATATTTTATTAAATTGTAAATAATAAAATTTTTAATTGTTATAAATAATTAATTATTTAAACCATTTGTTTTGACAAATATTTAAAAATAAAATTTGTAATATTGAATTGTTAAAGTAATTTATTATAATCATGATTTTAATTTTACTTTATAAATTATTTTTAACTACATAATGAACAGTCTCACAAAAAATTGCATATTCATTTTGTAGTCTATTAAAAGATTTTCAAAATGATAATTTATTACAATAAAAATAAAAATTAATATTATTTCATATTTATTTGATATATATTTCGATACACAACATTTTGCAAGTCTGATTATTTACTGTTCTGTAATAGTAAAAAAAATAAATAATAAAATTAAAAATATTTTATAATCAATTCTTATTTATTGACATAAAAAAAATTGCAAAATTCAATTAAAAATTTTGAATTTTTATTTGGCTTATATAATAACTTTTTGTTTTTTAAAACTTTTTTAAACTGTTAACAATTGAAAAATATATTAAATTCGATATTGGAAATTTTAACTAGAATTAGTACTTCATCCATGCATCATTATTGTCGAGTACGCAACGTAACCGTTGTAGCATCGATGAAATACAGTTGGCCACTATTTGATTAACGTGTCAGTCTCGTTCAGCCTTCTCCTGATCTTTATAATCGAACCATGTAATCTCACGTGTTTTTTTAATGGAGTTTAAATCCAGTGATTTGGGTTGTTGTGGCAAAAGAGTTAAATTAATAATTTTAAATGAAATTAAATAAATTAGACAAAATCGTTGAACTACTTTATTGCCATTTTCCCTCCGCTTTAAGAATCCTGAAAAATACAGATATTTATTAAAATTATTATTAATTATTTTATTATATTATTATTAAATTATTATAAAAATTATTATTTATTAAAATTTTATCCTCTTTGTGTATTTTTATTTTTAAATTTCACAACATAACTTATAATTCTTTGCATCTAAGGTCCCTTTCCTCAGAACGCATCACAATAAACAATTTCCTGTTAAATTATTAATCAAAAAATCTCAATAAGGGTGAAAAAAATTGAATAATTTAATTTTTATACATAACTCCATAAAAGGAACTCGATAATGTTGTTATACAGAAGCGAAAAACGATATATTTTACGTTTTATCATTAAATTTCAATTATATTTAAAGAAAATATAAATTTTTTCGGGTTCTGTACACCCTTTTACACGCAGATTACAGAAAATATACAGTTAACACGATTGGAGGTCATGGTTATGAGTGAGAAGTAAAGGAAATCGATTTTTTTAAAAATCCAAATAAATAATCCTGTCCTAACTCCTTTATTTTTAAAAATTGAGACCCGATAAGCTATTAGTATACAGTACCGGCCAAAATTGTCAGTCCACACATTTTTGAAGGAATGAAAAAAATTTTTTAACATAAAATGTATAAAAACTCAAATTTTTTTGGTTTATATTTTGAAAGACGATAAAATTTTGAAAAGAATAAGACCTCACAGAAGTCATTTGGCAAATATTTTTTCAAGATATTCTTAAAAAATCGTCATTTTCAATGTTTTACAAAAATTTAAATAACTTCTAAAATAATGAACGCTTTTTAATAATCTTAGGCTTATTTTAAAGGTCATTTTCTACAGAATAAGAATTACTTATAGGCATTAACCTGTAATTTTTTTCTTGGAATAAGCATGACGTCAAAGTTGGACAAAAAAATTAGAAAAATTTGAAATAAATTTTTTGTACTAAAAACTATTCTAGAACATATATAAAACATGATATGGTGTAGATTCTTCAAGAAAATTTAATAAAAAAATATGTTTGAATTTCAAAAATTATTTTTCTTTTAATAATATTGTTTCAAATTTTTTGAATTTTTTTGTCCAACTTTGACGGCATGCTTATTCCAAGTAAAAAATTACAGGTAAATGCCTATAAGTAATTCTTATTCCGTAGAAAATGACCTTTAAAATAAGCCTAAGATTATTAAAAAGCGTTCATTATTTTAGAAGTTATTCAAATTTTTGTGAAACATTGAAAATGACGATTTTTAAGAATATCTTCTACAAATTTTGGCCAAATGACTTCTGTAAGGTCTTATTCTCTTCAAAATTTGATCGTCTTTTAAAATATAAACCAAAAAAAAATTTAGTTTTCATGAATTTTATGTTAACAAATTTTTTTCATTCCTTTAAAAATGGGTGGACTGACAATTTCGGACGGTACTGTATATATATATACACGTATTTTTACGCGTACTTTACTGGGTCTAAATGCACGAAAAAATGTCAAATTTAACTTTATTTCCCAAAATGTAAATTATTTAAATAAAAGAAAAAAAAATTTTATTTATTCAAAAAAAAAAAAAAATTTCTCACACGATTCATATTCAGATCTGAATAAAAAAAATTAAACAAAAAGTTTAATTTTGAAAAAATCAAAAACTTCGTGTTGAAAAAGTAAGTGTAAAAACATATAAATTGACAATTTTGATTCATCATTATCTACCATTTGTGAAAAATTCTGGTTTTTTGATTCAGAATTAAAAACTTTAATTTTTTATTTAGAAAATTTGTATATTAGAATATATAGTTAAATAAGCGATAAATTTAAGTTTTGTCTAATGTTAAATGTTCCGTTATTTACGGCAAATAAAAAATTTAATTTCCTTAAATATTAGACTTATTTGAAAAAATATATGAAATGATAAAATTTAACAGTCATTGCTATTTTTAATGTCTAGGATGTGAATAATTAATTTTACCTCGAAAGAGAAAAGTTAGAATTTTTTTAAATATTAAATCTGGAAAAAAACTGAAAAACGACATATTCAATGTTTTTTTAATCATTTTCAGCTCTAGGATGTGAAAAATTTGTTTTGTCTAAAAAAATAAACATATAGATTTTTTTCTAAAAAATTGAATTCGAAAAAAGTGAAAAAACAATAAATTTAATGTTTTTTACTCCATTTCTTGAAAAAACTTTACATGTTTTGTTCTGCTGCTTCGTTTTAACTATAATATTTCATTGTTTCAATATAAATTTTTGTCCTACAAGTAAAAAATCAAATTTCTTTAATTATAATAATTTTTTTTTAAAAGTTGATAAATCATATAATCTAATATTCTTTTCGCTAATTCTTATTATATGACAACATTTATTTTCCCTCGAAAAAAATGTGGAATTTTCTTTGGAAAAATCGAGATTGAACAAAAGCTGAAAAACACCAGATTTGATGGATTTCCCTCGTTTTCATCTCTAGGTTGTAAAAAATTACTTGTGGAGATAAATATAGTAGAAAAATTTCAAAGTTGACGTATTTTAAAATCTTTTTTTTTAAATAGTTTTTTTTTTATTTTGGTGTAAACTTAAATTTTTCAAAAAAATGTAAAATTTAAAGTTTTCTTTTTAATTTTAATTATTTAAACAAATTTTTTTTATAAAAATTTTTTTCCTAATAAAATTTAAATTTTTTTATGTTTATAAAGTGAACACAATAAATTATACTATAGATTTGCAACTCTTTTTTTATTTGAATTTACCTTTTATAA